CAAGAGAATGTGGATGGCCAGATTTATCATGAGCCCTTTGTGTGTAGTTTTGAAAATGCTTGGGTGGCTTTTGGGCTACAGACAAATTGTTCTTCTAGAGATTGAGATTGAGTGAAAGTAATCAATGAGTAAACTGGACATTAACCTGTGCTGAATATTCACTGTAAATTATCACCCTAAGGTCTTCATAATTAAAAAATTAAGCTGCATCTCAAAATTATTTCATTTCATTTATTGGAGGCATAGAGGTTGAACAGAACAGAACAGTGGTTAGCAGCTCTGTCCCACAGCTCTTGGATCTTGAGTTTGATTCTGGGCTCCGACAGTGTAGAGTTAAAATGATCTCCCCATGTTCATTGTGATTTCTGCAGTTGCTCCCAATCTTCCCACTTTCACAGTCATGCTGGCTGGATTGAATTGGATATGTGCTACAGTATAATCCTGTGATGAACTGCTGACCCCTCCAGGCTGAGAGCTGTCTCATTCTCATTTTTGTTCCATGTCGCTGCCACTCTTAAAAGGACAATAAACTTCCTGATAATGAATGGATGGGTTTTTGGTTCTTGTTGTTTATATGCTGTCTTTGTACTCAGGTGCCAACATTAACCCTTCTAATCAAATTCTGAATATGAACAGCTGTAACCAGGGTGATCGGTAGGCAGGAACTGCAAGCAGCTAATCGTGAAAGTGGATCTATTCAGTAATACAAGATCTGAAAGAAACTGAAGTTAATAATGACAAAACAAATGTTTGGAGGCTGAAGTTTTAAGCTCTTTCTGGCATCAAGCATTGGACTTTTTAGATTTCTTATCCTGCACAAGTCACCTTGGCCACACAGCCCAGGCTGGCAAGACCTTGGAAAGCTGGTCCAGGTCCGTTAGTCTTGGTGTGGGACTTACCCCATCTTCAGTGGCTACAGGGGGCAGCACCAGGCTGTGGTTTAGGATCTGGCAGAGGAAGAGGTTTAGGAAAGCAGTGAGCATAGTTCATGGCAATGGAGGGGGGGGATCTAGAATACCAGATTCCTTCGAGGCAACGCCAGACTGAGTCCCTAGAGCCGCTTGCCATAAGTGTCAGGACTTGGCCCCAGGTCAGAACATGGACCGGACCAAGAGACGGCAGCATGCTGCAGTCATGAGTTTAGGGGCAGTGGATATCCATGAGAGCCACCAGGAGCTCGGACCTGGATTGGAGTCAAGGTCTGGAAATATGTAACCCTTCTCTGTGGAGCTTAAGGTCACATATACAAATGAGAAAGAACTCCTGCTGATTTAAAACACTGTGCTCTTCTGCCAAGTGAGCCTCAAATCCCAACACTATGTAAATGTGAATCACTGACACATATAGTATAAAATATGCTGTAGAATTACATCATTTATGCGAGCACTTCAGAAACAGGAATAAAAACAGTGCAGGGCAAATATGTAAAAGAACCTAACCCTTATTAATTTAGCTTATTAAAGTAGCAAAGGAACAAGTAATAGGTTTATTCCATGCTGAAAAAAAGAAGAAAGAACACAACGTTTCGGCCGTAGAGCCTTCTTCAGGTGTGGGAAGAAGGCTCCACGGCCTTCTTCACACACCTGAAGAAGGCTCCACGGCCGAAACGTTGTGTTCTCTTTCTTCTTTTTTTCAGCATGGAATAAACCTATTACTTGTTCCTTTGCAGCCTATGCATGCTGACGCAGCTACCCACCATAATTAAAGTAGACCTGGTATGGCCATTCATGTCAAAGGCTGAATTTACTGCCTGGCATTTATAACAGCATTTAAATGTCATGGGGCAATGTCTGATGTCATCTCAATTGCCACTGAAAATCTAAACTTTATTCGATACCTGGGTACTTTTCTCTACACCACTTTCAAAACCTAAGTACTAAGGAAGAACTAGTACTAATGTACTAAAAGATGTGAATACATAATAGTAATATTATTTGCTCTTCAGATGGCAGCAGCTTGCAAAAGTGACTTTAATTAAGCAGCCTTATGTTGACTAGAACTGGCTCTTCTGAAGAATGAAGTCAGTTTTCTTCTCTTTACAATATGCAATTTGCAGTTTTTGTGAACAAAAGGATACCGAAATAAAATAGATTTAGAGCTTCATTCAACACACACAAATTAACTTTTAAATGGCTTTTAAAACATTATGTGCTAATAATCTTTTCAACCACAATGAATTATGAGTACTAAGAATCTTTGTAAATGTTCACATACTTGTAGAAACTTGCTGAACCAAGCCTAGTGCTTTTATACAACAGTCATTTTCTTTAGATAATGTCCTGAAGGAGAAATAAACAATAGGTACTCCAGGTGGTGCTGAACACTGAAATCCTGTGTTCACTGAATGTTATCTATCTTTCAAGAAAAGGTCTACCTTTGTAAAATGTCATCTTATCAATTATCTGTAGAATAGTTCCCAGTGTTCATAATACGTGGTTAGGCCAACTAATGTGCTGATCAATAAAACTGTATATTTAAAAATGAATTATTTTTCAAACGTTTTTTTGAGATTACAATTCCATAATTTGTTCTCTTAAAACTGAAGTGAGAAACATTTATCACTCAGCAAACTTCTTTTGTTTAGATTCATGCTAACCTTTACCTTTAGGATGTAAGATGAACATTTTAAAGGTCTTTCTACAGTAAGTTCCCCTTTCAATAGCAGTATAAGCATATTAACTATGTACCTTTTAATCATTTACAATTCTATGGAATCAGATTTCTATTCAAATAAACACAATTTTAAAGCAGACCTTGGTATTATATTTTTAATACAAAGGAGGTATTGCATGTAGCCTAAAGGTGATTTCAGAGTTTAAATTGACAAGTACCATATAAGCTAAAGTAAACTATTTCCATTTTAATTAAATAGTTGCTCTTGTTGAGTGATTTATTCTTAACCTTTTTATTCAATGTCTTTGCTATTTTATAAAACAATACCCTGCATTTAATTGGTTACCTTTCTACTCTCAATATTAGTCTTGTTAACTGGAGGTAATGTACAGTAACTCATTTTTCTTGATGTAGAATAAATATTTCCCCCTCGTTCTAATATTATCTTATACAGTCATAATTATCATAAGTCATAATTAGCACATTTCATGCAGTTCTGTCTTGCAATTATTTTAATTTTATCAGTTAAAATAATATCTGAAAAGATCAGCCATAAACCTACAGTGTAACTTTAGAATGTTTTTATTAAAGTTAACAGAAAATGATCACAATTATTGCTGTTATCTTTTATCTAATATTAATATCTATGGAAATTATTTGCTAAAGACCTACAGTTTTACAACAATAGTCAACTAAACATGCATG